TTGATATGACGTTGACTATGAAAGTTGAATCAACATTGAACCATCAAGGTTGAATCAACCTTGAGGTATTAATGTTGAATCAACGTTGAAAGTCAACGTTGAAACTATGTTGATGTGACGTTGACTATTTAAGTTGAATCAAACTTGAGGTTTCAATGTTGAATCAACGTTGACAGTCAACATTGAAACTATGTTGATATGACATTGACTATGAAAGTTGACTCAACGTTGAACCATCAAGGTTGTATCAATGTTGAGTCAACATTGATACCTCAATGTTGAATCAATGTTGAAATAAAGTAAAATTTTGTCAATTTGCCATAAAGCAAGGCTGGTGACCCTATGTTTTTTTTCTTTTTCTTAAAGATAACCTGAACATCAAATCTGGAAAGTTTAAAAAAACCTGACGACCGCTTTTTTCACAAAATTAATTTGAATGAAAAAGGGGTAAAACAAGCGTTTTATGAGGGGTAATTACCCCTATGCATACCTCTCTAGTGAGATAATTATTTAAAACTGTTATCAAGGTAATGATTAAGGTTATAAAGTTAAGGTTGACCCAATGTTGAGATCCAGTTGATATGTCAACATTGACAAAGAGTTTACAAACACAGGTTGATTCAATGTTGAAATCCTGTTGATCTATCAACATTGAAAACTGATTGACAAAGAAAGGTAAAATCAATGTTGAGACCCTGTTGATCTATCAACATTGACAATTGGTTGACAAGAAAAGGTTGATTCAATGTTGAGATCTTGTTGATCTATCAATATTGATGGATCAACATCATCTCAACCTATCCTCAATGTTGAATCAACGTTGAGTGCCCGCTAGGATTATATATGTCGTTAGACAACATTTTTGCATGAAAATACATATATATGACCTGAAATGTTTTTTTTTTTTCAATTTTGGTACCAAACACAGATATAAAATTATAACGTACACTGTAATAACATCCAAGCACCTGCAATATATATATATATATATATATATATATATATATATATATATATATATATATATATAAGAACGTCACGGTCACCTCAACCTGCCTATCTATAACATGGTACCGTAAACATTTTTTACTTCATCCATCACATTTACAGCGACTTATTCATCCCAGTGTTAGCTGACCTCGCAAGGAAGTTAATTGGAATGTATATCTGAATAACCAAGTTCAGAAAATTCACTTGTTCACTATAGGCACAAAACAACTGTCACTTTTACTTTAAAACACCATTTTCAATGTTTTGATAAAGTTACAGTATTGATTAACAAAGTATCATGTTTTCCATAACTAATATTTTGAATTTCAAGCCATGTCTTGCATCACGACGACCAAACAACAATGTTGAGTCGATGACTAAAATACAACGTTGAGTCAACGTCACATTATGATGGTGTTTTGACGTGGTTGGATCAACGTTGATTTTACGTTGAATTTAGGTAGATCAACGGCAATTCAACGCCCCAACCTGTTTTCAACATTGATCCAACGTCATTATGCCTGCTGGGATCACTGTTTACCCCAGTTTCTTACATGGCACCTTCTAGAAAGTCGTTTTTCACAAGCAGTTGTTTTAAATGCACTGGGTATTTTCATTGAGCTGTATAACGCGTATTATTTCACATTCATTCTCAAAAACAACAATTATGCTTGCATCCCTAAAAGAATTAAAATCAATAAAGTGTTGTCTTAGACGGAAGGAAACATCACATAAATTCAAAACTTGTCTTTCTAAAATCTATATAAGGCCTTTAACATTGAAAAAAATAATAATTTTTAAAAAATCAGAGTAGATGGATGAAAATTTTGTCAACTAATGAAGTATCATCAATTCAGCAGTTATCGGTGTCCGCATATTCTTGACCATAATACCGCAGTAATATGTAGCGAATGGTTATCTTTAGTTAACACTGGGTGATCGCCTACCTAAGTCCAGTACGGCAAGGAAATGCCGTAAAGGAAGGTCCATATTGGGGGGGGGGGGTGATTACAGTTCAGGAATAAAAACCATTAATTCAAATCAAACAAAACAGCTTACAAAAAAAAAAAAAAAAGAAAAAATGAGGTCCTCACAAAGTGGAAAAAAGAGCTTCACCTGCTTCGCAAGAAATCAGACGCCATCTGCGGAAACGAACCATATCGCACATTAAGAATGACAGTTGAACACACAAGATATGTGTAGTGTGCCATTTTTTTTTTGTCAAAACTCATCAAAAGGTTACATAAAACAGTCAAGAAAGCTCATGTTATATTTACTATTCCATTTATTGTGATTGATCACTAGGAATTGCAATTTATCTCACTTTTACGCTTGTTTGTATTTTTTATTCATTACCTTTCACGGGTAATTTTTATCGTTTTTGGTGATGTATCATAGATTACCAATCGGCGTAGGCAAATTACAACATGATTTTGTGAACATTTTTTACGTTATTATTATCATTTTATTATTTTTATCATTATCATTTATTGTCATTATTATTATTTTATTTATTTATTTATTTATTTTTGTATTTTGTATTTTTGTCCCGTCGGTACAAATAGGGTGACCAAGGTTCATTAGCATCAAGTGAAAGATCATTAAGTCAGAGGTGAGATATGTGTCGGTAGGGGTTTTCACTATGTGAATGGTCTTCATAAAACACCCTGTTGCTTAACTTAAAATCTAGTGGACATCAAGTGTGCATACGCTTGGGAATTTCAAGTATTCTAAGACAGCCGTCATTGGACTTAAGAATATTGGTAAACGTTCACATACGTACAATAATCTATGCGTGCATTATCTCCCTAACTTTCACGTTTTGCATAAACCTGGCTATAAAATATGCCAAATCGCCTTTTCAAACTGCACAGCCTGTGTCCTATGCCTGGCACGTTCATAGTCACGCCCACTCACTACATCAGGGTCTTCAACATGTGCATGACGGTAGCAATGAGCGGGACGGCTCAACTGGTCTGCCTAATAATGCCTAAGCTGTACACAGTTCTGTTCTATAAACAATGGTTGTGTATATTTGATTAGCAAAGAATCAGCAATAGAGTATTTGCACAGGGTTACTCTTCCACAGCACTATTATATTAACGGTTTGGCGTAACTTGTAACTAACCGTTTCTCTGTCTGTACTGACAGACACACTAAACTATTAAAATGTTTCAAAAGCCATTTTAAATAAGCATTTTATGATTATAGTTTTTATTTTTTACAAATATCACTTTTTCACTCGAATTGAATAAGTAATGAGACACCAAAAACGTCATCAAACAGTATCTTGAAAATGCTACTCTTTCTCTATAAGAAAAAAATGGATCGGCAATAGTGAATAAAATGCAATCATTGAGATTATACATTGCATCCCCTTTTGTATGATTTTCAAAAAAGGCAAAATTAATAATTAAATACGTATTTGAAACAAGTGTCGTCAGGCATAAAAAAAATTATCAGAAAATGAGTCTTTTCATCGTTCTGCTCTACAAACGGGGACGTAAATGAGAAAAGTCCCGCTTCGTGTGGATTCAACAGACAGGTTCTGCCATGCGGGCAATTATGGGGATATCTAAGGGAGCGCTGGCTAGGTTGATACAGACGCTTTTTCATACCGCGTATGAGTAACGTTATAAGTGGGTGTTTTAAAGCGGCGACTGCGTTTTACCAGCTGTGATATCAGGTGTCGATGTTAAAGCAACTAGAGTCAATATTATTCAAAAATAGCAAAATTGTATAGCCGATTATTAAAACATTGATTTACTTTATTTGAAAGTGAAGAACTTACACAAAGAAGACCATGGTGTTAATGACAAAACTCGGACACCTCTTCGTGTTGTTTACAATTATAGGACAATCCAACCATGTAAAGCAGTGCGACATATGTGTCACCTTCACAAGACAACCTAAGAAAATATGTCCACGAAATCAGGGTACTTATGATCACGAGCCTTCTGTGCACTTTGCCGACATTGAGGCAGGTTGCATATTGTGCTGCGTTAAAGATTGCATTAATCTCCCCGCCTGCGTCTCTGTTGCGTTTGACAAGATAACAGGGACATATAAGTATTGCATTGGATTTACATTTAATGATTCACTGCGCATTTTAAGTTTTTCAAAATCTACTGTGGCCCTCTACTCATGTTGTGACAGTTAAACTATTACAGCATGGTAATATTAGTAAATATCTGGATTGCAGGTGATTTAAACTCCTTTTCCGTAATTGCGTAATCTTAGGTAACATTTTAGGCTTTGTTTCTCCACAAAATACAAATTAAGAATCATAACTCTTATCCGTCAGAAACAAAAGGGACCACCCCTTGTGGAAAAAACTAATTACAGCTTTTATACTAAATTTACCTATATCATACACGGTATATCATTATATTATATTTGCCATCGTCAACCAAATGTGACGCGCAATGTGCCCTCGAAACCGCATACGCGCTCGGAAATAACAAAACGGGGTGTGACCTTGACCTAGTTCTGTTCCTCGAAAGAAGCTGTCTACTTCAAATGAGGGAATTGTTTGGCAACCCCCAGCCGAATGTGACATGTTAGGTACCCTCGATTCCAAAAATGGTGGGCAAACCTCTTCCTCTTAGCTTCCAAATTCTTTCTGACTCTTGAAATAGGACTCTCCGCTTGAATCAGGAAAATCTGAACTACCTGGAAAAATATCGATACTTGGATGAAAAACGTTAGTATCGCTGTCCGAGTCTAATACGGACGAGTTAACCATGTACCCATCATAATCGCTATCAGACGCGTATGAGTATAATTCAAAATAAAAATGATGAACAATTATCCCTTGATCTATGTCAGCGCTGTCGTTGAATGATTCAATATTTTCGAACCAAAATCTAACCTCTTCGAATGACTCTGCAGAAATCATTTATTTTGCTTTTCCAGCTTTCTTTGGATGCAAAAATAACAGGGTCTTGTTTTGAACATGGCGATATTCCCCAAAACGGAACTTCAACTGATTACCTAACCGTCGAAGCTAGCTACAAGCTAGGTAAACAAACAGTTTACAGCATATTTATAATGACGCACGTCGTGCGTAGTTCCGCCTCTCTAAAATCTAACGCAGGATATTCCTTGGGTATACAGATTGTCATACAATAAAAGCACAAAAATGTTTGGATTTCACCGGTACCACAGATGTATTTCCGATCTTCTATAGGGGGACAGGAGGAGTGGCCTTTTTTCACTGACAGTTCGTGAGATGACAACCTGTACCGAGTTGCAATATTTCTCTCAAATCCCTTGACGTTCGTATGAGTATGAATGTCTGATACGTTCATATCCAGATTATTATCTCCAAACATTACATAAAATACTATAATTATATATATACACTACCTGAAATACAAAAATTCCCAATATACAATACATGAAATACAATAAATCAACTTTCATATGATTAAAAGAAAGCATATTAGTTACACTCATCACTGTAGATTGGTGTATTATATATCTATAGCTGGCGTTACGCAGACCATCAACATATTATAAATATCGACATCTCATCTATAGCATGCGTTACGCTGGCCATTATATGTTTTAAAACTTGTATTGTAAAATAATATCTCTGTAAAAAGTATGATGATTAAATTGAAAAAGTATGTGAGCTAAGTCTTGCTGATAGATTAGTCATTGGCAATTATGACACAAGCTATGGAACTTTGTGAATACGTTCAGTTAATGTCTATTATTCAGTATTATTGACCACTACATTCCGCCTTGTAAGACGCACGGTGACACCTTTCTCCGGCTGCACTGTGCTCTTGGCTACGTGAACCAGTGGGATCTGCGTCTCTGAACAGCTCTCAACGCTGAACTTCTTCACGAGACACGCCAAGGTCATCTTGGCCTCCATCAGGGCGAACCTCATACCAATGCAGTTTCTGGGGCCTGCCCCAAATGGGAGCCAGGCCATAGGGTGACGCTTAGCAATCCTCTCTGCCGTGAACCTGGATAGAAGAACATCACAAAGATGACGTAGAATTACGTGTCACGTCACTTGAACCGTGTTCACCAACCACTATAGCTGAGCATGAATACACCTGGATGGCAATTGGATGACTTTACAATTACAAAGCTTAAACATTTATTATTAAAATAAAACGATTCTTCTAATAACTAAAAACATTCTCCGAACAGTTATTTAATTGTTTTTTTTATAATCAAAGACAAAGTAATAGGATAATAAACAAGACTGAAAGGGTTTTAGAGAGAGAGAAAACTGAAAAGTTAAGACAAACATTTCAAATGTAAACACCAAGATTTAGATTTAATAACAGTTCCATAGTTTATCTCAGTTTACAACAACTCGTTTTAAAGTTGAAATATATCAATATCATACAAAAATCGATAGGCGGCAGCACCTTACCGTTCAGGACAGAAGACGCTGGGGTCTGGGGGTCCCCAGTGCTCGGGATCCATGTGGATACTGTATATGTTACAGCGGACACTCATACCTTTGGGAATGTGAACACCCATCACTGTGCTGGATTCTTGGGCTGTTCTCCCTGGCCCACTAGTAAAAACATACTGGTTTATAGAAGTAGTTTGACAAAGGAGTCCATGATGAAAAGTAATCGTTTCTAAAGAGGCTTATTTTACCCAAATCGTGCTTTCTATCTATAAGACTTTTCCTTAAAAAACCCTGATTACAAGACTTCCTCATAAACGATTCAATATTTTATCATTACACAAAAGCCAATGAAAAACCTATTTCCCTGAAAAATTCCCGTTTCCAAAGCAAGGGTATGTAGGGAAAGGGTAGAACAAAGCAGGTGCCCCCAACAATTTATTAAGGGTTATTTTCTTAGCGAAAAATAAGGTATGTAGCTGCTTCTACTAACCTTTTATATGATAATATAAATGTTAATTAAATGTGTATTTTGAGTCCACTTACACTGGAGCGACAGGGTGTAGTCGTAGCGATTCCTTGAGGAACATGTCCAAATACTGCATCTTACTTATGGTATCATACGATGGAGGACCCTAAAAGAGTTTTGAAAAAAAAAAAAACAATTAACAAACATAATGAATCAACATAACAAATATATTTCTTTCCATACAGAAATGGAAATCAAATTCTCCCATTTTCGCCTTAAAATAACGACATCAGCACCATACATGTACATTTACGATTAATACCTCATGCATAGGTGATGGTCGGCTCATCTTAAAAAAAATGTCACTGTGCATCAGTTATGAACATTTGCAGCACTTAATTATTTAATAGAGACTTAGATCATAATTGTGCACGTGCACCATTCCGCTTTAAAAAGGTGTGTACAGAAGCTACATATTAATCCAACTATATTACTCCAAATCCGACCGCGTGTATATTCATAGACCGATGTTTCAATACATAGTCGCTTGCCCTCAAGAGAGATATGTTTGCAGTCCTACCTCTCCAATGCAGTATTGGTCTACCTCCTCCTGGAGAGCTTTCTGTGCCTCTGGACTCGTTGCTAGGTGGTAGGCGGCGTAGGCCAGGGCGGTGCTGGTGGTTTCATATCCAGCCAACAGAAACGACGAGCACTGCGTTTGGATCTCCTAAAGATAAAAAAGACCAAAGTAGTGGCCAAACGCTGCATTTTGNCTAATTTGCATAATTAATGCTAATTAATGTAGCGATAGAGGGCGTCTCTTTGGATAAAAAATTTTCTTTTGGCCCAAGGAACATTTATGCCAAGTTAGACATTTGTACTATAAAATGCAGCGTTTGACCTCTTAACAAGCCTACTAAAGCCACCAATGATTGCTCAGTTACCTTTTTATTGAAGTAAAGGCGCTGCTTGTGTTGGTATCAATTAACGTGTCCGCATATAGCCGTGAAACGTAGATTGTTTTGGCACACACACACACATACACACACACACACAACACGCCCACACACATACACATGCACTTACACACACATAGACAAACATACATGTACACACACCCACAGAAGATTGCCTTTTTACCTTTTCTGTGAGTTTGGCCTTTTGTGTAACTCTTCTTTGAGATGACGAAGAGTCGTTCTGCTGACCCGTTTCCCCTCCCTGTTGTGTTGATATTACGTCACTGTCCGTCATCGCCTGGGGTACAGTCGAGTCCAGATTGTCAGTTTTGGCGTCCAACATAAGCTGTAGGAGATCCACGCGTCGAGACTGAAAGTTTACCACATGATTGTCAATCACTTTCAATTAGTTTATTGGTCACTGAAATACTTTGTTGAAGGGTATTTATTCATGTTGTTTGAACTGTTTTTGATATAAATTATTGACATTTTAGGTTTAACAGTTGAAATTGTTAAAAAATAAATATATTGGATAAAAACGCCCAAACTGAGAAAGACATATAAGCCGGAAGCTTTGGAGTTTTGCATTTGTAATTTCTTCAAAAATTTGTGAATGTATACGGATGTCAATATCAATAGATTTGTTAATTTCATTCCATGACAGATTTTTACCAGTTGTATATATATATATATAATTTACTTTTGGATCATTAAATCTGGACTGTATGGCAGCGCTGGCAAGTACATTTATGTCATGTCTCGTCTTTCTCATCAGATATTTGTTCCACACCTTGGCTAGACCGGTCAACGATGGGAAAAGATCTGCAAACAGAGACATATATAAGGTACAGATCGTATAAAAATATTATTTGCTTTAATGATAGTTTGATCCTTAGGTTTATAAGTAGCATTCAATGTATTTATTTGTTTGAACACCAGTATTCATTGTTACACATTTTCTACCATGTTGGTAAATATCAGCAAAAAATTACATATGTGGTTATCTCAAATCTACCAACCCAAACTTGCACTTCACAGATTGTTGGCCTTATTGTTTATCAACAAAAACCAAACATGATATACGAGTAACTTTTAGATGTGTTTATAATTTGGGTCTAGTTTAATTCATAGTACACTGTAAGAAGATGAATATTGCACATATGTTTAAATAATCAATAAACTGAAAACGTTCTTGCAGCTATATTTTAAGTCTCATTACTTTAGACTTTCTCTAAAACTGGCCTGGCCTGTAACATTGTTATGACGTGAACATACCGGAAATAAACATTGGCCACATCATCACCAGTGACGTGCTGAACACTTTACGACATGCTGCCAGAAATGGTGACGTGTTATCTCGCACTGAGTTAATCTCGAGACCAAAGCCACACGAAGCGATGACTTCCGTAGTGAGGCCTTGGAAGTCACTGAAATCATACACCACAAAATATAATGTATTGAAAAACCAGAAATCACAGCCAGCTTTATCAAACTCCAGTTACAGAGAGAGAGAGAGAGAGAGAGAGAGAGAGAGAGAGAGAGATATCGTTACAAAAACATGATAATGGCGGCTACGGAATCTGTTGTATATCGGCTGTTTCACGATCAGGGGTACAAAATAGGGGTCACATTGAGAGAAAAATGAACTCTGATGCATTTGTTTAATTTTATAACAGATAAAAAGAATAACATCTTAACTATGATATCTACAATTTTTAGAGCACAAGATTAATTACTTTTTGTGCTACGCTCAAATTAACAGAACGCCCCTTAGACTTTGATCTGGGGTTACGGACACTACACATTCAAGTAACTGATGCTTTCGTAACTGAAATATCATATTGTTTACCAGTTATTTTTGCCAAAAGTCTAAGAAATGTCAAACTAAAGATATAACAGCAGTACTTTAACCAAAAGGATACAATTTTCATGTATTAATCAAAGAGTTTTTTAGAGAAACACCACAGCACGTTTTTCAGTGGATGCTGGAGCTTGGTTGTGTGTCATTCAGTGTGACTTTCATTCACCAGACTTTAATTTTAACTTTTCTTTCTGTTGCTTGACCTTTTTTATCTCTTCATTTTTTTTTTTGTTGTTTGTTTGTTTGTTTGTTTCAGTCTTGATTCCTGTTTTTGGAGTCTTTTCTTCTTTTTCATCTCTCGTTAATTTGCACCTCTTGTTCTACTGTTTTCAGGATTGTTGGGTTTCTCTTTACTTTAGTCTTTCTTGCTGGGCCAGCCTAGGATGATTCTTTTTTTTTTNATTTTTTGCTGACAGTAAAATATTCAGGATCCCTTTTTCTTTTCCTGTTTGGCTTTTTGTTTATTGTCATCCATATTTGATACTTCATTCACTGAGAGTATAATAAATGTATTGTTAATTATTCATGTATTGAAGTGTTCGTACCCCCTCAAAATATATCATATACATTAATCCATAGAATATTAATCAAAAAAAAATATTATTTTGCAATTAGATATATTTGGCAATATATTCAAACCAATATTGTTCATTTCGAATGCAAAGAGTAGCATCTTTACTGATATTATTTCTTTGCAAAATCTCTTGCCTGACTCTAATTATTCAGTATCACTTGATCGAATATATATTTATATACAATGTTTTTTCTAAACATCATAAGACAAAAATGCATTTTATATAGTCTAAAACAATATTTTTCATCATATTTTGAAGTTTTATCATCATTGATATGTAAACAGTTATCCAATGGTTAATGTATAACTTGGGGGTACGGACACTACAGTAGGGGTACGGACACTACATTTGACACCAAATTTGTGCACATCTTTTCATAATAAGGGGTTATGTGCTATTTTCTTCCTGCAAAATAAATGTCAGTGTAGACATTATAGAATAATAAAATCAGACAGAATATGCTGTGATTCCTAAATAAGACAGATATGGGGTACGGACACTACAAAAAGTAGGAGACACCGAGGGGCTCATGATTATAAATACCATAGTATTAATAATAATGGTTACATATGCACCATTCCTTTCTTATGTTTAAGTCATAACATGGTAAATTCACCTTATTATCACGTAGGTGATTTCAAAGTAATATTTGGTCTTATCAAATATGTTTTTCATTGCATTAACAAAAATAAGTAAAATGTGTACAAAAGCCTGTTTCAGCAAAATGGTTGAAATAAAGTTTTACTCAGAACATCTTTGGAAGAACCTGCTAGAAGAGAAGACATATGTTGTGGGAATTATATACCAATATCATATTCACCATAAATCATTGACATAAAGAGCTAGTGCATCATATTTATGGCCTAAGTTGCAAATGACCCATCGTAACAGCTAGAAATAGGTACTTTTTTGACACATAATTGGCCATATTTTTATAAATTTTAGTCCGATTATTATATATATATTTTTTTATTTTGCTCCTATGAACAGTGTCTTTGATATCAGTCTATCAGCAATCTCCAATCATAAATTGTAAATTTATCAGACACTTGTAACATTAACCACATTTAATTGTTCACCCTGATTGTGAAACAGCCGATATGCATTTGTACGCGTAACAGGATGAAAAGAACTATATAAAGAATGTATGTCTGGTACTTTTAATGTGCAGGAGGATTAAATCTCCCCCGAACCTCATCCTTTTTTAATACAGTCGTAACGTCTAAAGCCCCTCTGTCTATCCCACTGTCTGTCACACAAACGTCACCAGCTCTTATGTCTTGTTACACTGAACATTATACAGAAGACTGAAGCTCGAGATTAAATACCACAGGGAAACGTATAGAAACGTACGATTTTATTGAAATCGCGAAGCTGACATCTAACCTTTCGCTTTATTCATCCATTTCCATTCAAGCTGTGAAATTTTACGTGACTTTGTCAGTAGTTAGTACTTACCCGTGGATATCGAACGGTTTTTCTTCCTGGCAACGCTTCTCCATCGACTCTATGAAACTGTTCACCGACTCCTGGATCAGTGGCGCCATCTGCAATGAAACGAAGCTACACATGCCACAGTCTATACAACTGCATGTTTATCGAAGAGAGATTTGTATTACCCTTGAATAAAGCTATCACCTTGGGGGGTTGGGGTACTCAGATTTGTATAAGACAGAAGCATCTTATGCCGACACGTTAAGTCTCGAATCGAACTTTTTACTTTTCATAATCATATGTTTTCTTACTTGTTTCATTTTAAGGGAGGAGAAGGTCGGGTTGATTATTACACGCAAGCGCTTCCATCGTTTTCCTTTCGCGAAAACCATCTGTGTTTCTTCATCTTCCGTGTCTATTGAATTAGGAATCTAAAAAAATGAATTCAAATTGATCAGTGTCATTGTTAGTGGAAAACGAAGTTATATGTATAGTGCTCACCTAAAAAGAATTAGCAAAGTGAAAAAATTCCAGCAAAACTGCAGCAATATTAAACGAAAACTAAGCAGCAGCGAGTTGTTACAAATTTGCAAGAATGAAATGCAGTTTGCAGCGATTTTGCAGCAGGCCTGATATTTTGTTCAATTTACATTTTTTTTAGTTTGAATTACACTACCAAGTATGCTATTTCACCCCAAAACATCGTCTAGCCAGCCCGACAATAAACATTTTCTAAGGTCTCATTCACAGAGTCACCATAGGTCTACCATCGATCGACTTAACTCCGTGGGGACGCTCGCTGTCTGCAACAACAGAATGTCACGCCTCCTCCTGTCGTTAAGAAGAATACAAGAAAAAAATTAAGTTGGTGGTTAAACGAGTAAGTTTGAAACAGGAGAAGGTGTGTCGTTCAGTTAAGCAGATTGCACTTAGCAAGAGCCCCTGCAGAGTTGGGTCGTCTGACATGGACAGATAGTATCCATGGGAATCGGGTCTTAAATGCACTGGTCAACTAATCAAAATGAAAACGCATTAATGCTCATTCTTGGTAAGCGGCATGTTTGGGGGAAATAATTTTGATGATAATACCACCTATAAATCTTTATGGTATTATTGATTATTGTTACTCACTGCACTTTGGTGAAATTTACTGAACTGTTTGACAAAGACTTCTTGCAGAAAATCGACATCTGAGGTCACTATACTGGGAGAATTGAGGAAGAAGACCCTAAAATAAAGACAAGATACTGTTAAAATATTCTTTGGAACACTGGTATCATATATCAGGCATGTATCGCAATAAATAGTGGCGATTGGGCACCAATCTTTTTAAGAGTTGCTTAAAGCAACAAAAATAATAAATGATAATAAAGACTAATAAAGACTTGAAAATATTTTGTATATATGTGAAGAGTGCGTTCATACATACCCAAACGTTTTTCCATAGAGCTGTTCCCACTTTCTGTATGCCATCCAAACTGGCTGGGACTAGATCAAAATGAATGTGCATTTCACTTTTGACTAATTTTTGTAGTTCAAATATTGGTATCCAGAGTGAGTTATATATTTTTACAAACTCTGGATGCAAATTGGAATTGCTTTTCACCGTAAACATTTGACACTTTAGATAGCAACCCAAAACATCAACAAATGTTCCTACGTCCTTTCTAAAAGTATACTTGTAATTAAAGCTTATTGCAACTTAAATATCATGGTCACCCGAGGACACAATCGACATGAATGCTGTTTCTGTGAATCCCCATACATGCACGGTGGCACTGGGATAAAGTAACGACGAGGGCAACTAAGTGTGAAAAGCCTTCCACATGTGTGATAATACAACTGGCAATTAGTTTATACGTTGATAGTAAATACGGCGTATTTCATCATTTCGAAAATGAGGTAGTAAACTTTCACAATGATCTGAATAAAAAAAAGGATAAATATAAATATACACTGTTTATTTGCAGTGTTGTTATTTTCCAATATGAAAACAAACCATTATCTGTCTGAAATTTCCAAATATGAGGTTTGGTGGAGGACCGTTGATTCCCATCTTCTTGAACACACGGTAACTGTCTATCCTCTGCCTAAATGCAAAACAACACGGACTGTTTATATTAGTTAGGCATAGGTATAATACAGTGGCGGATTTAGGGGTGAGGGGCCCTGGAGGTCCTGACCTCCTTCGATTTCTGAAGAAAAATCGCCAATGGTCCTCTCTTGAAATTAGAATTTCAACTAGCTAAATCATAGTTCTAAACCGTGTCAAATGGCACTGTTCGCCCTCGAAAATACCAAAAATGTGTCGGGGCCCTTAAGCGGACCCCCCCCCCTCTTCAAATAATCCTAGATCCGCCTTGTAATAATAATGCAATGCTTGTGATAATAATTATATTTCTTATTCAGAGTACTTGACGGGTCACTCACTTTTATTACATGTATCACAGTAAAGTGTCAATTAGAGCGCTGAGAAGTCGGGGGATGATTGACAACTCTTGTACTTGTAGCATGTATAATAGTCACAGCTGATTAGGGGTACGTCAACACTGTAGTAATTGTTTCATTATTATAAAACGCGGATCCAAAATCATGCCAGTCGAATGATGAGATTAGTTATATGTATACCGTACTCGG